TTTAAAAATGCAACTTTGATATAAATCACCCTGTATAACAATTGCAATTTCGTTGGAAATATTGAAACTGAAAAAATGAAACAAAGGAATTATGTTAAATTTCTAACTAAGGTCTTTAGAACTATTAAAACTCTTATAATCGTCACATAACCTTCCTCCTTTTTTTTGATAGTCATGTTTGAGGCTTCTCAAATGTTCTGTGGCCAATTGCACCGTCAAAATTAAGTATCGCTTAAAGTTAAGCATAACTTAAATACCATAGCTAATGATTGTCTTAAATCGTTGCCATAGATTTTAAGTTCGACTTAACTTTAAGCAATGGTTAATTCTGATGATGCAACTGGGCATTAAAGTCTTCCTGTAATCTTTTCAAAAACTTGGATATTTCTCCCAAAGTCTTTGTGGAATCTCTGGGAGATGTTTTTAGAACCTTCAGTACCTATTAGGATCGTTTCATTCCATTTTATTCATTTAGTTATTTCTCTTTCAGATTAGGTACATGAGTAATAATCATTATAATGTTTCATTTGTGCCGGTATAACATACACACTACAAAATTAAAAATGTGTAAAATTACCGTACATATTAGCAAATGCACTCAATTTTTTTTATAAAATGTTGTCTTCTATATATAATAATTTAGAGTTCCGGCAAGCGATTAAAAAATAGCGGTCATTTGCACAATTTCTTGTTAAGGAGAATCGGAAATAATTAATTTTACCCACAATCGTCCTGAAACCTTCATTTTCATGCGTACTTTCTGTCAGGAAATTTTGGTTTCCATGACACAGCCAGAACAGCCTGCCGCATCTGTGACATTGCTAAATGTCTATAATGAATACTTAGTACAGTCAAATTAGACAAAAAAATGGGCATTCCGTGCATCAGATATGTCATCCCTATTTTTTCTTTTAAATTGTTAGGATGTATATGGATGTGAAAAATCCAAGTTTTCGACATTGAAAGAGCTGTGTGAGCGACACAGCACTTGAAAATATGTCATTTTTCTTACCACTTTTTTGTTTTTGTAAGTTTTACTCCTGAAGGACCGATTTTAATGCAATTATTGTCGTATACTTTCTTGAACTAGACAAAACTAGACAATTTAAGCTCTACTCCGCAAGTCTAATAGTTTCTGAGATACGGCGCTTCAAATATTGGCAAATTTATAAGTTTTACAAATTTTATCAAAATTTGCGTTTTTTTTCGCAGAAACTAAACTTACCAAATTTGCACGATGAATTGTCGTAAGACGTGAGTCGTAATAAACTTGTTGTTGAGGAAGTGCTAAAAATTGCGGATAATGAAAGCGAATTAAATATTGATTTTTGTCTTTTAGTGGAAAAATATCCATGCTTATATGATGTCTTATGCAAACCATAGTGTTGTGAGTAAGCTTTCTGCTACTATCGGTGTTCCTTGTCGAGCAAGGTCAGGCAAAAGGAAAGCATTCACAGAAAGGCAAATTTGATTAAAACTGAAGAATTTACGAATTTTTGAAACGCTGTATCTCCAAAACTACTTGGCTTACAGAGCCGGTTAAGGGCTTGAATTATCACAAATTTTGTCTAGTTTAAAAAAGTATACGACAGTAATTGCTTTAAAATCTGTCCTTCAGAACTAAAACTACCCAAAACCTAGAGATAATAGCAAAAATGGCGTATTTTCGAGTGCTGCGTTGCTCGCACAGGTCTTTGGATGTCGAAAACTTGGGTTTTTGACATCCATACTCAGCCTAACAATTTAAAAAAAAGTATAGAAATGACACACCTGATGCAAGGTATTATGATAATTTGACTGGACTAACTGTCATCACTGATAGATTGACATTAATCAACAGTTCTATATGAAAATTGAAATGTTATATTAAAACACGATTTCGGGTAAAATTTAATACAAAACTCGTCAGTAAAATGACATTACTTGACTCGGACTCCGAAATCGATAACCTACTATACTCTGTTTTTTAACTAGGAAGACGGATTTAAAAGTTCCCGCAAAAAATCTTAGTTTCTATTGGCTCGCGCTGCGCCCGTTTTACACCCAGGTAAAATTGCTATTGACATAATTTAACTGTCAAATTTAATCGCGATTCTCGTCCTTTGTTGTCCCTGTTGTACTTATTTTTGAGTTTTCGTGTGTTCTGAGTCCTTTTGCATAAATTTTAACAAAATAAAACAGTTCTTTTAAGAACTAAAGTTGATATTTCGCGTCCTAAGTGTACTGGCATTAGTGATGGATTCAATTCCAAGTACCAGTAAAGCTAGCTTGTCTCCTTTGAAAAAACGTAGTCGCTTAAACTTGGGTCAATTTATCAGTCTCCGAGAAGCAGTTTATTATAAACACTTGTAAACAAATGTTATCTGATACCTACTCGGATTATAAATTTTGATATGCTTGTGTTGAAGATTGCATCTACCACAGGTAACGTAAATAATGATGTAGGTATATATTTGGTTATTAAAGTTTGACACATATTAGGAATTGCACGATCTACAGTATACCGGATAATTAAAGAAGATCGAAGTACTGGGATTGATACCCCTTCGAAACGTCGCGGTGGTCATAACGCTGTTGCAAATGTGTGCTCTGACGATTGGCGGAATTGTGTGCAACACGTTATTAAGGAAGAAAGTAAGATGTGTAGATTGGATGGCCTAATGGATACACTTATAGAACCATTAATTATTTCACTCGGATCGGAGGACAGTGACAGTTTTATAGTGAACTTTCGGAAGACAGTGTCTAAATCGCTTATACACAAAACAGTGAACTGCCCTGTTTAATAATATGAATATAATTCCATTGTTCTGAATTTGTTCAATAACTTAATATTTGTTGTAAATTGTAATGTGGATTGTGTAGTATTACAACTGATAAAACATTTAAAACTACAATTCAAAATAATGTTTCAAAGGCCAAAAAATGTATGTCGGATTATTACCTATTATCAATGTATTACCTATTTATTATAATTCGCTTTTAAAAGTGTGATGTATGCATAATATAAAGTAGTTCCTATCAAATAATAACCCAAAAGCATAAATAATGAAATCTATCCAAATGTGAAAGAAAAACACATCACGCAACACACAATACATGACTGTATAAAATGACTATTATTTTTGTTACTAGTTCTAGTTAAATCCGTCTTCCTAGTTAAAAAACAGAGTATAGCAGAATATAATTATAAGATTACGGCAACACCCAGTTGTTTTTATTAATAGTATTTAAATTAAATTGGTGCTTGACATAAAGAAAATATAACACTAGTTTCACAATTTGGTTTTACGCATGCGCAAACGCAATATCTACTTTATTATTAATGAGCTCCTAGCGTGTTCATAATTTTACGGTGTCTACCGGTCTGCCCTAGCATCTGCCCGTCTGACCATTATCACGATATCTCGAAAACGAATAAACTGATTACGATGAAATTTTGCAGGTGTGTAATATTACTTTTTAGACGTGCCCCTGCAGAAGGTCTTAAGTTGTTCTATATTACTTCGGTATTTACGAATTAGGAAAACTGCAGGAAAACCTAAGTCGGAGTAGCCGGCAGAATGCTCGAAACTGATCTAAGGATATTCCCATCTCCGCGACAGATGAAAAATTCACCTTAACTCAGGTTCGAACACCCGACCACCGGTATTGTAGCCCAACGCTCTACCACTGAGCTACAAAGCCGGTATAATACGCAATGCCAAGCTATAGCCATACCCAGAAACTCATTTGTTATATTTGTTTAATTTTTCCTCCTCATTCTTGTTCAGTCCTTTGGGATTGGATGCCTCTACGTATACAGGGTGTTCATTTGAAAACTTCCCACCAGGTATTTATCTAAAACCACTGATTAAAGGAAAAACGCAGAGACACGTCAAAAGATTTGTCAAGGGGGACAACTCTTTTTACAAAAACTACTTCACCCCCTGCCCTCCAGGGTCATTTTCTTAAAACTTTTAAGACAAGTATCTTGTTTGAAATTAGACAAATCTTCAATTGTATTTTGGTCCCCATTAAAAATTATTTTACCACATACGGTGTGAACAATAAACCTAAGCACACCACGTAAGGCTTTACTATGAATTAATAAATGCTCTAAAGAGTTGATTGTACCACGTAAATATCATTGTAAGTTGGTAAGGATCAAAAATGTCGTTTTGGGTTAAAGTAAGGCAAGAATAAATTGCTAGGAATTTTCAAAATCCCAAACTGTCGCTTTCAGTTGAAGTACGTAATTTCATAGCTAAGTTATGAATTTGCTCTTCCGGTGCAGACCTTTGTTTCACTACTCGATGTAATTCTTGGTCAACATTTTCTGTGCGACTTTATAATTATTTTATTATTACAGTCATTATATCTTAAAGTTAAATTTTCATGTTAACACATGAAATACTTCTAGTGCAATTTCGCACGCCTGTGGCCATTTGGTACCCTTGGCTGTATTTTTCTGCTCTTTTCATGGAGGTCGTAAATTTAGTTCTCGTTGGGGCGGATCGTAGTGGGAACGGGTACAATTAGTTTGAGTAATAATGTTTCACGTAGTCTTTGAACAGAATCATTTTCATTCCAGAAACTAGGATTTATTTTAAAAACCGATACTACAAGACCATTGGTTGTAGTGAAGAAAATTCGAAAGTGCCTGAATGAAAATTGCAATTTTCATATGTAGTGGTGCCATTGAATAAAAATGTATTCAATGCTTAAGCTAAACATTTTTAGTACCAATTTACGCACACTTTAAGTGCATCAAACTGTTATGAACTAATCATAAGGAGGCTTAGAACATTGTCTAATAAAACCGTGTGAATTTTGTACATAATGGGTAAAGTAATTCATATCTCACACTATGCTTTCACTGAATTTAACATATTTCTGTACCGTACACGCAAACGGGGTCCTCAAGGACGCACACCCAACCCTACTCCTTATGCATATCAAAATTTTCCCAAGAACGGCTATAAAGGCAACCCCTACACTGCGCAAGTTTTAGTAAGTGTTACATATGTGCACCTTGATGGAGTACTAGAAACATGAACAAACAAGTAAGTTTGATTTACGAACAATGCACGCTAATTATAATCGTCACATAAGAATAATTTTGAACGGTTGACATAAGAATTTCGCTTTTTGTATTTTACTACCGGAAGAGAAAAGTTGAGATTTTCTTTTTTACAGAAATTGACTTGGTTTATATTGCTGCTTTGTCACCACACTTTATGTGAAAATAGCAGTAAGGAAGACTTATCGGGGGCGGAAGCGAAAGATGGGTTGGAAATTGTGAAATCAATAAAAAAAATTAATAACGACGGATCTTACACAATCGGATACGAATCCGATGATGGGTCGTTTAAGATTGAAAGTCGAGATGTGCTGGGTAATGTAAAGGGAACTTACGGGTACATTGATGAGAAAGGTGAAGTGAAAAGGGTGTCGTACAGTAGTAGTAACCTAACGGAGTCAAATACGGATATTCCTTCGGTTGTTCAGCGAATTCCCAAAGGTAACAAGACTACGAAGAAGCCATCTGTTTTGTTATACAACCCGACTACACCCGCGACACCTACAAGTTCAACCTCGAAGCGTAGGTTTACAACTCAATCGTCAAGCACCTCGTCTACAACTGCAAAAAACAAAGCAACTACAACTGATGGTGCTAGCATAGTATATGCAACATCGGCACCGTTAAGAAGCGCTCTGCACCCACGTCCTCTTTTGAGGGCGACCACCGCACCTTTAACATCAATTCAACGGTTAGAAGGACAACTCATACGACCCGAAATTTACTCATCACCATCCACAGACCTTCCAATCATTAGAAGATTGGCTCTTAAAAATCAATTACCCTATTCCGAAGCAACAACTCCTAAACCTGTCGCGGTTGCGTCGGAGTTGCGCAGTAATGTTCTCAGGCGGCAATTGCACCCCGAGAATAATTTCGATTCGCGACATCATGCATTATCATTACAACAAGGATTCGGAGAAGACGCCGAGGACGTTTACAGCGCTTCTATAACGACAGGAGCACCGCGACCCCTATTCACCACCACCCACCGCCCCAGATTGCTACCAAGTGTACGGGCAGTAGTCGAGAAACCACACTCAAATCACGTCCTTAATGACTTGGACAACAGACCAACAACTGAATACGCGGATGGAAGTTCGACCACTGAAGTGGCGGTCACACAATCAAACAACCAAAAAGTGACACCAACTTATGTTCAAAATATTCAACCCCCACTAATCGCTGTCCGCCACCCCTACTACGAGGGTGTTGTGCTGGTACCAGCCGACCAAGTTCGCGCCCAAGAACAACATCCCCAATACATTCTACCGAATGGTCAAGCCTTTAAGGCAGTTCACCCTACTTCCAACCCCAACTTTGTTCAGAGCCCAACTCCCTTCTACTTGTCAAGGCAAGCCCCCGTTCAATTTGATCAAAGAGACTACCACCGTCCCTTGCCTTCACAAATCTTTACCCCCGCACCTTTACCACTTCACCATCACATCCCTTCACCGCACCGGTTGAACTACGAAGCGAACAACGTTGATGAAGACGTTGACAACATTAAACCACCAGTAAGCACGAGAGAATTCCAAAAGTTATTAGAGCTATTAATACTTCGACAAAAACGGCTGGAAAGCGCAAACGCCCTCATAAACGCGCAAAGGGAGAGAGAAGTTTACCAGCCGCAACATTACAGAGGCGGCCGACCCTTATTCGTGCAGAAACACGACCCTTACCAGCACTACGCTCACCCAGAACACGCTCGCAGAAACGAGAACGGTTACCAATTGCTCGCGTCATTTTCCCCAATGCAACAAGGCGCAGCCACACGCAGAGTACCAAGATTGTTACACGCGCCCCAAGTAAAAGAAGAAGGTGCGGACGATGAGTATTTACCACCTGAAATCCGCGAAATGTTACTTCTTCGAATGCTTCAGTTAGCCATCAATCCGAGCCTTCCTCTGCAACCGGAGGACGCGATAAGTGACGGCGAAACGGCCGAGTCGTCGGAGCATGAGGTAAAACAACCGGGTGTCAGAAATGTAGAGATACTGGGCGAGGTTGACGACGAGGTAAAACCGGCGGAACGAAGTAAGAGGTTTAGAGGCAACGCCAAAAGTTACTATAAGCGATAGCTTCGATTTTTGATCTTGTATTTATTCTAGATAGGTTTATTTTTTTAATTAATTGTTATAATGTGCAATGTGTAATTAATAGTGCATTCCGCTTACCCAATTTCGTAATTGTAGTTACCAAAGAACTGAGTACAATATGTGAGAAATCTTGTCATCTTTTTATGAAATACGAACTTTTACAATGGACGTAATCTGAATTGCTTAACTATTGAAAACACAATGGAAAAGTTCACATGGCGTTGCTTTATTCTTGTACCGAATCTAGTCTTGAAGGTTCCTCTATTGGTTCTGCTTCCGATTCGTAATCACCGGGAGCGTTCCAATCTTGTACTGATCCACTTCCCATCGTCATGAAAAATGTCGCCGTTATTAATAATACTGCCGACGATACTCCGAAAACTAAACGCCACCAGCCTGCAAACTGAATAGGGGTTTCGATAACGGAGGTCAAATTTTGGGGTCTCACCGATCCGTGTAAACCTTCAGAGACGGCGTAATTCGCTGCCAGAAGTCCTGCGGCTCCTATTGTCTGGCACAAACCAAAAACCGTACCTGTAACACATAGTAATAAGCGAAAGTGCCACTTTCTTTATTCATAATAAACTATTTTATGCTAATTCTAAAAGCTTAATTGTTTCTATTGCACAGTCAGGTATCATGGAACTTTTCCGAAGAATTTTAAATTGTGTAACCATTGCTGAGAAATAAATAAAATGAAATTGAGTGTCAAATGTAGGTCTGTGTAGTTTTGTGGAAACATTTACTTATTTAGTTTGTTCATGATGAATCTCCCCCTCCGCAATGGGGTTTGCAAGATTCCTGAAAAATTCTTGTGCCAATCCACATTGGGTACCTATTTAAATTACTTAAATTTGGGCAACATTTATTTTTCCAAGTTGTGAAAGGAGGGGTGAGCAAATTGCCATTAGGACACCGTGTATAGACATATTAAGGGGAATAAAAGCAGATAATAAAATTTTGCATTGGGCTATCAACAATTTTACTGCAATTGTAATTGTATGGAAGTCCCTGTGCAAATATACATGTTTCCTTTTTTTTTAAAAATCATTATGGTAATGTGAATATGAAGAACAAAATATTTATTCCTAGTTATAAGTCTCATAAAATTACACAAGAACAGCAATATCTACATTTTTTGTTTATTCTTTTGTTCTTGTTTTTAGTACTGGTAAATTACACGGTAGTTTTTTGTTGGATTTGTAATTGGATTACCATTGAATTTAAATGAAGATCACGGCCATATCACCGATTTGTCGCGTAAAAATCTAGGATCACAATGCATACCAATTTTTCTCGCTCATTTTGAAACATGTTTCCATGAGAAAAATCTAAAGATTCTAAATGACTGAAAAATGGGTCATTTTCTGTTGATTGTTTGACTATTTCAAAAGTTTTATTATCAGGGAGCTTTAACTTTTTTAATTCGACGGATGTCAGTTTCTTTACAATAACTTTCACCAGACTAAATTTAAATTTGAACGTAATTTTAGAAGGCACACAAAATTGCCCACGAGGGGGAAATCGCAGTGGATATCCAGTGTACATAGTGGTAGATGTCCGCAGGATGTCCGAGGAGATCCGATGGATATCCGCAGATATTCGTGGATATCTTCAGACTTTGGAGGATATCCTCGTCCATATTCAAGTATAAGTGACATGTATGAACTTATGTACAAGTTAATGATATACCTACGCGCATGGAAGGAGAGTGACTCATTTGCTTTTGTTAGTGTTGTGACTTGAACTGTTTTTCTTTCGTAGTGGAGAAAACAGATGAGATAATTACAATACAACAATTTTCAACTTCTTAGCTTCAGCTAGGTATCTATCACGATAACCGTTTTCAAAATTTCATCAAAGTCGACGTTTTAGATCATTTTATGCAACATTTAACATTTTTTTCGTACGTAGGTACCTATGTATAATAATAATATTTATTGTGCTAGCGTGTTTGGTACACTTACATTTGTCAATAACACATTTAAAATTATAAAAGGTTAAAAGTATAAATGATAAATGACAAACAATATTCACAAACTACAAACAATCACAAACTTATATAAACTCACCACTATGTGCATAAAACTCATAAAAAAAGTAGGTACGTACGTGCAATTTTCCGAGATAATTTTAATCAAACTTTGGATATGTATATAAGGAACCGAAAAATAACGGATTTTTGAAACAGAATTTTGGAGCGCCCCAACGTCATCGAACTTTTTTTTTCAATTACATAACTCAACATGTGTATTAAATTATTCTAAAGATCGTATTTTTCTGTGTACCGGGTAACCCAATAAGACTGTTCCTCGGCCATATCTCGGGAACCGTTCGTCGTATAACTTAGGGGTAAAAAAAATTATTGGGTAAATCGGTCATGAAGAATCGCGGCAAAATATTTTGAAGTTCTTAAAATGACCAACGTAACTGCTATCTGAAATTTTAAAATTGCATTTTAATTTAGTTGAATCCTTCTCCATCAGGGGGCTAGTTTTGACACTATGATCCAAAATCTTAAAGAAATCAAATGGAATGATATGACTTTTTCTTTATGAAAAAGTAGCCAAATAACACCCAAAGAGGCCAGTGAAAACCGTTTTTCAACAACAACAATCTCGTTCCTAACCTCAAGTATTGGGAAAATGAGATTAATTAATAAATTAATAAAAATGCTTAAATTGTATCTTATTTGACGTATTTCCGGTATTTATCGATGTCGCGAAAGATTGTTTGGAAAAGGACCCTACACTTTTAGGTAGGCATTGGAAAATTAAACAAATGAAACACGATGCATTATAAAATAATAACAGCCGTAATTTGTAAATTATTCTGCTGTATTTACATTCAGAAAGTGCAGTTTTTTGAATTTGTAATCTTTTGAAGAGGATAGGACAAAACTCAAAAATCTCCAGGTAGGGGATGGCACCCAGATGTCGGCGACCGTCCACATGTAGCCCCATCACTAAAGTTGTTAATTACACGGCCCCGGTAGGTGCATGTACACTCCTCGTCTTTCTACAAGCGTTCTTCTATGGGCCCGCATTTGCTGCCAGGCAGCCAGCAGCTACCTTTTCACACATAAATTTCCAAAAATGCGCAGAAACTGTGTTGGACTTTTTTGTAGAGCTTGTATTTTAGTACGATCCGTCGGCGGATTTCCAAAAACATGTCAGATGTCTTAGATTTAGAGATTAGAGATTCAAGGATGTCCATTGAAATCCAAAGATGGCCATGAAGATCCGAGGATGTCCATGGAAATCCGAGGATGTCCATGGAAATCCGAGGATGTCCATGGAGATCCGCTGATATCCAGAGGATTTCCGAGGATATCCAAAGATTTTCGGTGGATATCCATGGATTTCCACACCAAATGGATGTATGGTGTACAACATTCCATCTGCGATTTCCCCCTCGATTGCCCATTATACTTGAAACACTGATCTATGGAAATTCCCATCTCTGTCACAGATGAAAAATTCTTACCTCAGTCCAGATGAATCCGGGTATGTACTCCAAGGCTCTACCACTGAGCTACATAATCGGAGAGATACGAATAGAACCGAAATCAAATTGGTTGGAGAGGGTCGAATCCAAATATGAATAGAAATTTCGGAAAACTACGAAAGAAAGAGAGGACCAGAAGCGCAAGTACGTCAAAAGTTCCAAAGAAGTAAGAAGTAAATTAATTTAATTTATTACATTCAATATTATTAAACAGAAATTGGAAGAAAATACACAAAAAATAATAATAAATCAAATCAAAATTCAAGTAAACCATAAAGAGGGAGAAAATTTAAATAACTTAATTCAAGATTTGTTGAAAATAAAATTACAGAATATGGAGAAAAAGAAAACACCAATCAGTTTAGAGAAGTTGGAGAGGGTAGGAGAATCAGAAGAACATTTCTAAGCAACGAGAGAAAATGTTAGAGGAAGGGTTACTCAGAGTTCCAGGTCTTTTGAGAGCCCAAGAAAGCAAATAGCCAGTTTAGAGCGAGAATGTTTCAAACAAGTTAAAAAAGTAACCGTAAACGATATACAAAAAGCGCATTTTCACTTGCATTCATTTCCCATTTGTAAGATGCAACTTCTGTTAAAATCATCAAAATCCGGCCACAAATAAGAAAGATTGCGTTGCATATGTGCAATCCATTTTTGAAGTGCCACTTCAGTTTCAGTTTATAAGAAGAATCCTACCCCAAAATTTGAGAAGAATTAGTTTACAAATAACGAATGTGGGTCTGGGCATGCGCAATAATTGTTTTGCATATTTTTAGTCGCAAATGAAATTTTTTGATTCGGCATTAGTTTTACCATTGTAAGATGTATATACAATGGTTATACCTTTATTGGAGGATTTCACTTAAATATTTTAGCAAATAAGAAAATTGGATTGCAAAAATACAAAAGTTACCATGCGGAACTGCACCCGGACAGACAAACGGACGGACAGACAGACAGAAACAGGCAGACGGGCAGACGGCGATATAACATAATAAACGATCTCGAGAATCGTCAATAAACGGCAAAAGTGTAAAATTATGGTACCTACATGAAAAAAATAGATTTTTTGCCGTAACTTTTTTCTTAAGCGGCACAGGAAAAAATTATTTTCTTGGTGCAAGCCTCGACACCATAATGAATCAAATAGCGGAAAAAGTAGAACAAAGTTATCGTTCACACGGAAAGATAGATGGACAGATAGACAAAGGAACAGACGGACAGACCAATAGACAGACGACAGACAGCAATACAAATTTATAAATGATCTCTAGGATCGATAAACGCCAAAAGTGTAAAATTATGCAACATGTAGAAAACGGTTTGTTGGTTTTTTTACAATAACTTTTTTAGCAATAAACGCAAAAAATCCTTCCTTGGTGCAAGCCTCTACACCATAACGAACCAAATAGTGGAAAAAGCAGAACAATATCTCTTAAGATAAAGAACTAGTAGCGTTCGGACGGACGGACAAACAGACGGACTGACGGACGGACAGACGGACGGACATAATAGCGTATTTTTTTTAAATTTTTGTAGAAATGCGCTAAAAAGAGCAAGAAGTGATGGTTTTGCAAGACGTGAACAAAAAGTTAGAGCAAGAAATGAAGATCGGTATTCCAATTTGTTGACGAAGACAAAGCTGAAGTCGAAGAAATAGGAAAATTACCGAAGATGAATGAAGAGATTAGTGAAAAATTACTGAAACCAAATGAAGAAATGAGTGAGGAAAATAGAAGAAATGAAGTAAGCAAGATCTATACTATGGGATTTTTGAAACAAAAGATAAATAGAGAGATCAATCAAATGACGCCGATAAGAAGGATGAAAATCGATTCTGAAGATAAAGAAATAAGGAAAATTTTTACAAATTTCAAGAAAGGAGAAATATTTGAAGACCTAGTTGATGAGAAAAGCTGGAACTTTATGAGCTGGAAGAAAAGGAAGGAAAAGTCTAGTGAGGTAAAGTTATGTTGTAAACAATTATTTGATACATTTTACCAAGTTTATTAAAAACTATTAAGGAAGATAGACAAATGAAGACAAGAAACGTGAAATAATGCGGTTTTTATCTATTTCTGGATTAGATTAGGATTTTTTAGATTTGGATGATAGGTTTTCAGGATTTTTGAGATTGAATTTTTAGGAGTTTAGAATTTTAGGATTTTGGCATTTTTTTTATTTTGCCATTTTTAGGTTAGAGGTATATTGAATAGGTTTATATGAGTTTTTAATAGGTTAGCGGGTATGGATTTCGTTTAGGATTCTCTAGAAGTTGTTTAGATATTTTGAACTGTGTATGGAAAGCGCCCGTTTCTTTTATTGTTGTTTTTCAAATCTCATTAGGTTTTCCTCGTTAAAAAACACATAGCCAGAAAGTGTACAGAAGAATTAGTCTCCGGAGCCAGCCTGTTTCCTAATCAGTTATCAAAAAATCCAATACAAAAAGCCATTGCTTAGATCAAAAGTTATGGGCAAAAAACCAATTTCGACAAAAAATTCAAAGGGCTGTAACTTTTGATCTAGTAGTCCTATCTTGGAACTGTTTGAAGTTATGGATTCTACAGGCCACATTCTATAAGAAAATATTTTTTCCAGTAGATCTGAAACAATTTTTTTTTCGGGGCAAAAAAAGGCAGTGTATCTATCCTTCCTTTTTTACCAAAAATCGAATGCACCAAAATTTTTTCGGGAAAAAACTTTTTGTTATTAATTTGGGTGCGTAGAATCCAAAACGATTCGTACTTTTTCGATTAGACGTCTCAATCAAAAGTTATGGGCAAAAAACCAATTTCGACAAAAAATTCAAACGGCTGTAACTTTTGATCTAGTAGTCCGATCTTGGAACTGTTTGAAATTATGGATTCTACAGGCCACATTCTATAAGAAAATATTTTTTTCCGGTCCATCTGAGACAATTTTTTTTCTGGGCAAAAAAAAGGCAGTGTATAACCTTCCTCTTTTACCAAAAATCGACTGCACCAAAATTTCTCGGGAAAAAACTTTTTCTTATTAATTTGGGTGCGTAGAATCCAAAACGATTCGTACTTTTTCGATTAGACGTCTCAATCAAAAGTTATGGGCAAAAAACCAATTTCGACAAAAAATTCAAAGGGCTGTAACTTTTGATCTAGTAGTCCGATCTTGGAACTGTTTGAAATTATGGATTCTACAGGCCACATTCTATAAGAAAATATTTTTTTCCGGTCGATCTGAGACAATTTTTTTTTCTGGGCAAAAAAAAGGCAGTGTATAACCTTCCTTTTTTACCAAAAATCGACTGCACCAAAATTTCTCGGGAAAAAACTTTTTCTTATTAATTTGGGTGCGTAGAATCCAAAACGATTCGTACTTTTTCGATTAGACGTCTCAATCAAAAGTTATGGGCAAAAAACCAATTTCGACAAAAAATTCAAAGGGCTGTAACTTTTGATCTAGTAGTCCGATCTTGGAACTGTTTGAAATTATGGATTCTACAGGCCACATTCTATAAGAAAATATTTTTTTCCGGTCCATCTGAGACAATTTTTTTTCTGGGCAAAAAAAAGGCAGTGTATAACCTTCCTCTTTTACCAAAAATCGACTGCACCAAAATTTCTCGGGAAAAAACTTTTTGTTATTAATTTGGGTGCGTAGAATTCAAAACGATTCGTACTTTTTCGATTAGACGTCTAAAACAAAAGTTATGGGCAAAAAACCAATTTCGACAAAAAATTCAAAGAGCTGTAACTTTTGATCTAGTAGTCCGATCTTGGAACTGTTTGAAATTATGGACTCTACAGGCCACATTCTATAAGAAAATATTTTTTTCCGGTCCATCTGAGACAATTTTTTTTCTGGGCAAAAAAAAGGCAGTGTATAACCTTCCTCTTTTACCAAAAATCGACTGCACCAAAATTTCTCGGGAAAAAACTTTTTCTTATTAATTTGGATGCGTAGAATCCAAAACGATTCGTACTTTTTCGATTAGACGTGTCAATCAAAGTTAGAAGTTATTCAAGTCGACGTGCCTTACAGTTGAAAAGACCCGATAACTACTCAATATTAATGGATCAACAAAGTTAGCCGTAAGAATTCCAGATCTTCCGCGTTGAAGAAAAATTGTAAATAACGAGGTTAGTCATATTTCTCTTTTTTTTTGTCAATTTCAATCGACAATACCCTAATCTTATAGGGTTTTTCAAGAATCAGTAAAATTTAGTTTCAAAATAACATTCCTCCTCCCATTTTTAAGTGGTTTCATAAATCAATTTTTCAGACATTTGGTGATTAATAGTTATTTATTATACAAGACGATAAAGGGCTATTTTGACCATTGAGTGAAAGATATTAATTCATGAGTGGCTGAGACCTCAATAATATGTTAAAAAATTACTGCTACACCACCTTTTGTAGGGCAAAGGCCGTATTTGTCCCCTAGTGACTAGACTATTGTAATAATAGAACACCTTGGGAGAGACAAAAAGGCTTTAGGAACTCAAAAACTTTAAAACCTTTAAAAACTTAAAAATACTGTACATTCTTCTAAAAATATGAAACACTTATGAAAAAACAGATTTAATAGGTTTCGAGAGAAGCTAAAGGGACAAATTTGCTCTCCAAATACTAAAAGAAAGTCGAGTAACTTTAGCGCATTTTCCATGTATTGGTTAGTACTCCCCAAAAAGCTATGTGCGCTATGTTTTTCTTTACTAGAGCCATCTATGTCATTAAAATTTCAACTAAATGTCTATAAAATTGGCATTGCGCACACTTACCTGCGAAATTTGGAGCAATATCCGCCGCACTAGCAAATGCTCCAGCTGGAGTTGCTCCTGTCAGTGCTAACGCCGCAGTGTACATAGCAGCGGGTGCAGCGGGATCACAACCAGTATACCCCAATACAAACATTAGGGCGGCAGGAAGAAAATGTGCTGAATTACCAAACGCATTACTATCTAAGAGAGCAAAACTCTGGCATTACTTACAAATGTACACGAAGAGCTTCCTCGCGGAGGTAGTTGAAAGTAAACCGGATTGACGCACGTGGTCTACCACAATTCCAAATGTTATAGCTGCAAAGAAGTGACCAATATGTGGTAAAGACGCCAAAACGTCATCCTATACATCTGAAAGTTGAGTTGAGATCATTGAAGGTATCCAAACTTACGTATTCGATGCTGAATCCATAGACTAGTTTTAAATACTTAGTGACACCCAACATTAATGTGGCGTCCGCCCATTGACTTCCAACGACTGCTACACCACAAGCCCAGGCAGGTCCAGATAGCAGTAACTTTCTCCATGGTAGGAGCTTGTGTTCCTTAACCGTATCATGTGTTACAAATGAAAAAGATTTTGTATACGTACGTCTCGAATCGGACGATTTGGGTTGAGGGATTCTTCCACAAACCGCCACCATAGAAAGTACCACAAGCAGGAGCACAAGCAAATGATGTAACTCAGAGAGTCCCTTCCACAAAACCGTACTAATGGAGTACCAAGTAATCCCACAATCGCATATCCAAGGTTTACAGCTGATGAACGGTATTATGTTAGGCGTTGAAACAACTTTGGCGCTACCTACCTGTGTACATTGAAACGAAACCGCTCAGATGCTTTGGTTTAAACCATGTGACTGCCAGCATATGGGCAGCAGGCCACGTTGCACCCTAAATTTCAACTCGCTACGTTACAAGTTAGCTTATTTCTCAATTACCATGAATATTCCCTGTATAATCCGAATCCCCACGTGGTATGGAGTCAGCCAGGCGGCAGGTACCATAACTGCAGCACACGCCGTGCCAAGGACACCGGCACCGAAAAGCCTTTCAGCTCCAACACGTGCTGCAATTCTGCTAGCAGCTAGTGGCGATATCAACGTCCCCCACATAAAGGCCTCCCTTAAAACTGACTCAGTTTCATCCGTCCTTGTCATGGGTATCTATAAAGCGTACAAAATTACCTTCATAAATTTGGCATCAGCTTTACCTCGATGTGAGGAATGGATCGCACCACGTGACCATAACTCCTATTTTTGTTCGCCGGCTGACAGTACCGAGTGATATAACTCGTATTTTCCACATACTCGGCGAACTCTTCCGCTGTAATGCTCGAAGAACTGTTCGCCCTCAGTGCCACCGATGCGCTTTGCTCAACGACACCGCAAAGCACGAAACCGGTGATTACAAAGACCGCGAGCACCTGGCGGGACCCAATTTGATCTGCACAAATTAAGCTACTACTTGCACGTGTCGCAGTTGACAATTACCGTTAACAACTTTAGCTGCCTTTTGCACCTGAATACTCCCCCTTTTTAAGGTGGATAATCCAGGTGGCATCTTTAAATGGATGTAACTCGGACCAGAGGAGCAACTAAACTAAATTATTTAAAAGCTCTTTATGTTGATAGTATAATTGGGTATAATTTTATACTTGCCTCTCTTGTTAGTTGTGAAAGGTCATCCTACGTTCATTCGATCTCTTAACCCATATTTTTTGGCGTTTTAATAAATCGATTACGTTGTTAGGATGGGATTAAAATAACCTCGGCAAAATGATTAGGGATGCTGAGCATTTTGATTACTCCACACCGTTTTATAATCAGGGTTAGGATGTTTAAGAATAAAACTAATGCAATGTTTAAAATAACCGGAACGCGGTTTCATACTTAAGAATATAATTTAGAAGAAGTGGTAATTCGACAATTTTTTGGTGGTTAATTTATTACCATTTGAGCAAAAAAACGAAAACTACTTTACTAAGTTTACTTTAACTACCAAGAAATAATGAGCAAAAGAAGTGCCGAAAACAATTGAAACATTAAAAAATGAAATACCTCAACCTTGGGAAATGGGGCACTCATCCTGTAACGTTATGACGTTTATCGTAAGATGTCGTTTGGGATTAAACTATACCTATACTTGAAATTTGGTCAATTTTTGCTATCAACAATTCAAAAACCGCATTCGTATTCGTATAGAACCTTTTTTTCGTACCGGATTTGGGCCCCTGAAACAGAAAAAGGGAGAATTAGTTTCTGAAAAAAAAAGAACCAGCTTCCGTATTTCAAAAATTCAGAAGTCGTTTGCATCAAATAGAAAAAACAGCTTCAGTAATTTTCTTCAGGAGTATTCGTCGATAGCAAAATCATTATCTACCTGTCAAAATTTAATTGAATCTACAGACGACATCAAGAAAAAGAAATCAAACACAAGGTCAGCTACAATTTCACCATTCATTCATCATTTATTTCATTTAAAATCTTCCATACATATTGTTCATATTGATACATAATTTAGTTGAGAAGTAGGTACCTGTTTTTTTTGTCAATAGTCAAATGTAAAATACTTATAATTATTTCAACGACGGCATTCATATTTTGTTCCGGTAGTGCTATCCCTTCTTTATTTAATTTTTTTTCGCCGTTTAATTTTTTAATTGATGTGTTCCTTTCCTTTCATTAAAAAAAACCTAATTTGCAAAGGGTACTTGATACTTTGTTTGTATTAAATTTAAAAAATTTCATTTTGTTTTTATTGATCGCTATTGGCGTGATAATCCTACATTTTGTTTATTTCCATATGAACCTTACTTTCGTATGATCACTTAATTTTTTAAAGTTTAATTGATGGTGTCATATTTCTGATATATTTCCTAGGTCATTTCTTTCAGTTCTTCGGATTGTCGTGGCATTTGTACCTACTTCTCCTAAAATCTCAACCAAATATTGAATGGCACATTATTAATTCCCTTTGACAAACATTGTTTCAAAAATTGACCTTTGAATTCTTTAATAAATAAGTAAAGAATAAGCCCCTAAAGGTTTTTTTAATGTTTTCGAAAGTAGTTATTGATCCTTAAAGAGACTTTTAAAAGCTCTAGCAAAACTCTTAAGGGCTGGGTTGCGATTGAGAAGATAAAATTTTAAGGAATCTGAAAGCTTCTGAAATGCGCTTAGGGACGTTTCGAGACATTTCAGGACTGTTTGAGGTTCTTAAAAATCCGTAATGTTCTTTAAAAACTCGTGAAAGCATTTAAAGACTTTATACATTTATTAATTAATCTCGGCTCTAAGCACTTTAGAAGACTCTTAAAGAAATTAATTACAGGATCTATAATAACGTCTCTGGAACCCTTGAACCTTAATACTTACGACACTTTGGAAGCCTTGGGTTTCAAAAATTCAAACGTGTTTAAACGTTCTTAAAGACTTTTAAGCCTTAAAACTTAAAAACTCTTAAAGGAACACCTAACTTGTCTTAAGAGTCCTCATGATTTAGAAGCTCTAAAATCCACTGGAAAATTGTGAAGACTAAACGCCATTAAATGCTTAAAAATTCAAAGATCTAAAAGACTTTAAAATTCTTAATTGCTCTTGAGAATAAGTAAAGACTTTTATGTGCACTAAAGGTTTCTTACAAACTCTAACGCCTTAAAAAATACTCAAAAAGCACTTCCCTAATGACTCTTTAAAGCTTTTGAGATCTGATAATGGTTCTTGAAACACCGTTAAGCCATTTAAACGTGTCTTCAAGACTCTTGGGTACCCTTAAAGATTCATAGAGATTATAGATTGCTGTAGAATCGAGGGGTATTTCACCCATGAATATTTGTACACCAAAATTCATTTTTTCTATTAATTTCTTCCAATTCCCTCTTATTCTTTTTAGTACAAACCTAACAAAAAATGCAAACAACACCAATAGAGATACGAAAACCAAAGTTTTCCTAGGTAGCGACCTTACAACTTTCGCTACAACTACGAGTACAAAAATATGGCAAATAATTAGAGGAATTCTTTGAAGGACAGATTTTTTGAATTATTCGAAAAATCTGTTCCTTTAAGCGAGTGGTACCTTACCTAATGATGGGTATTTAAAGGGGAAAATTGGTTAATTCAATTTTAGCTACATTTACGTTTGAAATATACCTACGATAGACATTTAAGAGGAAAGCAATTGGACGGTATTTTATTGCACACCACATCAAAGTGCTAGTATTTAAGATGAATGTCTCCATTTTTATTTAGTAAATTACAGCCTAGTAGTTTGTACAATTTTTCTTGCCTAATGGACCTTTGTTGTACTCTAATCAGAGTACTTGCAATATATGGCACTTTATTAGGGTAGATTTGCATTATACGAGTTTTATCACTACTCAAGATTAGCTTGTTGGTAATTAAATATTAGCTTAGTAAGACAAGTATTTAGATTATTTAAAGCTAGGTACATTATGAGTATTGCCACAAGACAGTACCGTTAGTAGTTAAAACTTTATTTAATAAAATCTGGTGATCGACTAAGTCGAAAGCTTTTTTTAAATCAACACATAGATCTACCACGATGCTATCCTTGTCCAAGTTGGTGTACACTTTATTAAGTATGGATATATAAAATGTGTTTAATATTTAATTTCGGAGTATACCTTAACACCTTCAAAGATATAACGTTTTAAATATAAAATAAAATCCCGTTTTAGAATATAACATCAAGGACATTATATTGTATTAATTTAATACAATGAACAAATGCATAGGTACGTCATTTCCAATAATAAAATGTTAAATCACAAATTTTAAGCCAAAAGAACTAAGTATAAGAGAGCTTATATAATGCATCATAATACTATAAAACAAAATTGAAATAGGTAGAGTCAAGTAAAACGAAATTACTGGCTCATTTTTTAAATGAAAATGAAACATTGTAAAAATGAGAAATTCTTCGAAACGTGGTTCTAATTATTGCTCGCAATAAAAAATAACAAACAATGAAACTAAATAAACAAAAAAGAAAAACGTGTAGTACGAATGCAAACACGGTTATTAAAAATGGATTATCTTTCATTATTTTTCCATTTTAAATTATACATGTATGTGGATATATGCGAAATTGGTAGAAAATAGACATAATAGAAGTAAAACGAGTAGTACATATTGGCACAGATAAAATCCCATTTGTGTATAAATTATAAACGTACATTAGAATGCCATTAGAAACTGGAATCTCATTCAAATAGCGATTATCTGTAGTAACTATCAGCAAACAGTAACTTGAAAACCAGTCAGCGCCATCTTTGTTATCATACCACAAAATCCACTCCTTCAAAACGTAAGCTACGCCGCATATTCACGGTGGTACATTCTCTTTATGGCAGATGTCATAAAGATAAGAAACTTGTCCCTAAATTGTTTACTAAAGTTTACGTTAGACAACCAATGAGAATTAAAATTACAGTTAGTTAATACATTTAAATGTGTTATAATTTTTCGCGAAACTTAAATTTGAGTTTTGTTTATTTTCGTTTTCGTACGGTATTTACGTGTTCAGTGTAACTATTAGTGGAACATTAGTGTTAAGTTATAACAAAAACAAATCGAAGAGGATTAAGTGTTTGTTTTATTCTGACTGCTTCTAACCTCAAAGTAAGCCTTAAAATTTTATCTTATTTACTTTTTTATGCTGAATGGAACGTTTGTATAAACTTTATATAACCAAATGTTTATTGAATTAAATTGTATAGTAAGCGATGAGACAAGAGAAATAATGTGGAAAACAAAAACATTTCAGAGGGTGACCAACAGGTGGTCAAAGTTACCAATTTGCCTTTTTCTGCTTGGCAATGTCTAAATGGTTCACTTTTCTTATTTTAACAGCCAGCAATACAATCACCTTTTTCGCTCCGGTAGTCTCATTCTTTGTAAATTAATTTCATTAATTAATTAATTAACATAAACTTACACAATTATATTTTCTTTTAGATTTCTCAGTCTACTTTAAATTAAATTCCCACGGCTCTTCTACGGCTCAAAGTGTGCTTTCTTTTATTTTGTGCACAGTGCACACTGCACATCTATCGCGATGTCTACAAATGCCAGGACGAGTGCCAGATTACCCTGTTTAAAACAAAACGCGAATTTTAAGCTAAGAATAGGTGTAATTTAAAACATTGTTAAATAATTAAGATACTACGTGGTATCGATCTTAAATCTTAAATCGAAAATGCAGCAATGTTTTTTGTGTACCAATCTTGTCGATAAATTAGCAAAACGGTTCCACCTTAATAGCATTAAATAAATTTTGCATCGTAGATGAACATTTTCAAATAGGTAGTAGGTAAGTATAATAACGCAAAAGTGCTATTTATTTACTAATTTTGTTCAGGAAATGGCAAAACCGAGAACAAAACACACTGCTTTCGATGCAAAAGAATCTGCCCACAACCTCTTATGGTAATTTTAAAACATAAGGTATTAGAATTCTTTTAGGAATTACTCTAGAGCCGATTAGAAAACATTAAGATTTGTATAGGGCTTACTGGCAATTAGATTTGTGATAGGGTCATTAGGTAATTCCATCAATTATTA